ATATATAATATACATATGTGTATATATATAAAATATCAAAATGGGTCTGATGAAAAATAAGAGCAAATCCAATCTTACCTTCATGACCACAGGTTTCTCAAAGTTATAAACAGAATGAGCCTTTCGTTGAACAAATTTCTGAAATTCTGAAGAGTAAGCGATGAGAACATTAGTACTCTCAAATACACAGCAGGGAGGAATCAAAAACAAATGACACCCTTCTCATCTCACCGTTATAGACCATCTGAAAATTAAAGGGCTCCTCTTCATAGATGTCATTTAAATGTTTCATTGCTATTATAAGGCAGATTTCCAAGACTGACAGACCTATAGTAAAAGGGAGACAAACTGAGTTGTAGCTCAATGATACACAACACTGAAATAAGTGTCTTCCAGAAAATAAATATAGTGAAAGGTCAAGACTTTGAGAGGTAGAGGAGGTAAAAACTTCACTACATTTAAATGTATTCTAATCACTATTATCTATAAAATAAGTGTGCTGGATAGCTTTAGTTGTCAACTTGACACACCTGGATAGAGGGAGGCTCAGCTAGTGTAATGCCTCCATTGGACTGGTCTGTGGCCATGTCTATGGGGCATCTTCTTGATTACTGAATGATGTGGGAGGGCCCAGCCTACTGTGGGTGGTGCCACACATGGGCAGGTGGGGCCTGTGTTGCATAAGAAAGCAGGCTGAGCAGAGGCCAGGGGAGCAAGCCAGTAAGCAGAGTTCCTTCATGGCCTGTGCTCCAGCCCCTGCACTCAGGTCTCTACCCTGAGTTCCTACCTTGGGCTCCCAAATGAATTGTGATCTGAGAGATGTAAGCCAAATACTCTTTCCTCCTAAAGTGGGTAGTGGCCAGTGTTTTGTCACAGATATTGAACTCAAACTAGAACAATACATAAGTCACTTAATTTCTCTGAGTTTTTTTGGTATCTGCAAAATGAGGACCTCTCTAAACTAACAAGAATGTTATATGAGATAATGTCAAGCATTGACCATCTGGCTAATAACAATCAACAGAAACTGATTACCATATGATTTCAAATCATATGACCCCTGGGTGAGATTTACACAGAGAAACACTGGAAATGATATCCAAAACTGTTTACTTTCCCGCCTCCACTGGCTAGAAAAATGCTCATCTGATTTTCAAAAGGGACAATGAAGCCCAAATGGCTAAATGACAGCAGTGAATGCTCTTCAGGACCACTTAGTACAAGGAGAATATCAGCAACAGTCTTACCTGTATTTCCAATGAGCCATGGGAGGCAGAGTGCCAAGTTTCTTAAACGTTAAATGGGTGATAGCATGCTACTCTGTTGTGGGGACCTAAAGGCCCCGTCTTACAGAGGTCCGAGAGGAAGTTACTGGGGCACGGCCTGACTTGTTTTGAAAGTCTGACAGAGGAGTGCATGATCAGGGCGTGATCATCCTTAAGATATACCCTCACTGGGGAGGGGGATTTCCAGATGCCTTTATAAGCTCTGTAACACGTGCAATAAATGCTTCACTAGACTCCCCATTGAGCCTGATTGCTCCCGGTGCTGGGGGCAGCAAGGGCTGGCAAATGGAGAGCTTACTCATCCCCAGTCATCCTTGTGCGGGGGTCACAGGATCGAACCCCCCTGCAACTGGCGCCCAACGTGGGCTCGAAGGAAGGTGAAAGGAAAAGGATTGGGAGTGTGGGGTAAGCAAGACCTGAAAGATGGGTAACGCAACTAATAAGCCTGAGGACCCGGCACTTAAAGTGCTGAGACATATGTTTAAAAATAGGGGATTGGATCTGTCAGATCTGGCAGCTCAAAAGGTTTGGGCAGAGGCCATTCATTTGGCTCCCTGGCTACTTGGGGCTAATGTTTTTACTGGGGATACATGGGAACATGTGGAATGCCTAGCTCGACAAAGGGAGGTTCAATTGGGGATTGATCCGCTGCTGGGGTTCTCCCTACTATCCCAAAAGTGGCCAAAGTAACAAGCGGCACCTCGGGCGTGCCCTGGCCAGCTTCAGGGCTTCCTGGGACCCATGCTCAGAACCCATGGGTTCCTTTTTCAGAAAGGCAGGGTAGAGTGGAGCGCATGGGGTTGGTGGTGAAAGCCGGTCACCCGACCCGTCTTGAAACACAGACCAAGGAGTCTAAGGCGTGCGCGACTAAGGGGCTTGCTCAAAAGCCGGGCGGGCACATTAAAAAAAAAAACAACCCCCCCCCCCAAAAAAAACCCCCAATGTTGGCGGTGCACTACGACCAGCTCCGGGACGGCTGGGAAGGCCTGGTTCAGAGAAGGTGGCTCGGTATGGGGGGGGCTGTTCCGTCCATTCAGCAGGCGGCCGGGGATACCCCCCCCGCAGTGTTACATCCCCACCGGCAGCAGTGCTCGCCGAATCCCGGGGCCGAGGGAGCCCTTAGTGAAAGCCTACAATGTTTTCACTGGCGGGGGCAGATTTGGAGCTGCAGTGGTACTATACCTGGGGGCAGATGAGAAACCAAAAAGATATGTCCACACTTGTGATGGCTCAGCTCAATTCAAAGAAATCATGGCCATTGCTTTCTGACAGTATTCAGACTCCTTCGCTCTTTAAGAAGAGAGAAGCCCCTATCTTCTTACAGTATCTTGGGATTGCCTGGGCTTTTATCCCAAGGCAATGGAGAGGCAGACAAAATGGCTTATTGTGTCAACCCTTTCTAGAGGTACCACCTCTGCAACAGCCAGGGGTAAACCCCAGGGGACTCAAGCCCAATTCCTTGTGGCAGACGGATGTCACATACTATGCTCCTTTTAGAAAGCTTAAGTATACTTTTGTGTCCATTGAAACAGTCTCACATGCCTGTTGGGCTACCGCTCATACAGGAGAGAAGTCTAAACATGCTCAGTCTCATTTTCTCCAGTGCTTTGCAACATTGGGACTGCCCCAAAGAATTAAAACTGATAATGGACCATGTTTTGTGAGTAAAAATTTACAAGATTTCTTTTCACTTTGTGGAATTCAACACAATACAGGAATTCCCTACAATCCCCAAGGTCAAGCCATTATAGAAACCATTATAAAAAG